CTCTGTGGTCATTAAAAATTCCAGGATGTCTTTCGAAAAGTGTAGAGGTGTGACCTCGGCATCCTGGCCAAATTTGCCCATTGGCCTCTGATCATCATGGCCTCCTAACAATCCCCATATCTACTGATTGGCTTCATCACTCTGTCTCCTCTCCACCAATAAGCTGGTGTGTGGTGGGCGTTCTGGCGCACTATGGCTGCCGTCGCATCATCCAGGTGGATGCTGCACACTGGTGGTGGATGAAGAGATACCCCCTGACAATGTAAAGTGCTTTGAGTGCCTAGAAAAGCGCTATATAAATGTAATGAATTGAATTAGTTTACAAAAGTAGTTTTTTTTTTTTAATAATCTCAAATATTTAATGAACGATTTGATTGACAGCATTAGTCCCAGAGGCAAAGTTGTTCAGAATGAGGAGATCTATCATATGATATGAAGATCTAGTGTTTGTGTGAATATATGAACATGTTCTACAACTTGAGGTCATTTTCTATAGAAATATTGTGTTTTTGAGGCCTTTATAACTGTTATAGCACCACCTATGGTCCGATCTCCATGAAATTTTGTGTGCTTATTACGCGTCCTCTTACACATGTTTTCACCAAGTTTCGTAAAGTTTTGAGTTTTCATTTAGGTTTTATAGGGTTTGGGTATATTTGGCCACGCCCCATTTTTAAATGACTCCGTTACAGCTAACCAAAGGACAAAATTAAAATGTTTTTTTGATAATTATTGATCTAGAGAGTCCAGCGAATATTACTGCAGTGGTTTGATCGAGATTGAGCAAAAAACCTAGGACGAGTTCGCAAAAGTAGATTTTTAACATAATTGAGAATATTTAATGAACGATTTGATTAACAGCAATGGTTTTTGAGGCAAAGTTGTGCATTATGAGGAGATCTATCAAGTGATATGCACCTACTTGCTTGAACCCCTAATTATGAATGGGCTACGGATGGGCTACCAAGACCTGCAATGGTCTTATTGCATGTCTTGTATGTGATTCATAATTTCCTAATACCGATACAGTAGCCTAGTTTGCAACATCTGATAACCCCATATAAAAAGAGATGATTCAGCCTACTTTGTAAAAGCAACAGAGATACTGTTCATATTGTCTGTTAAAGATCTCCTAATAAGATCAATTTCCATTTTATTGGTAAATACACTCAGACATGTCTTGATCATCTTGAACATCTTCCTCCAGTATTAAAGGCCTGATGGTTGAAACCCGCCATCCAAACCCATTTCCCTGATTCATCTCATTCATTACAGCCACTTCCTGGCCAGCCCCCCCATCCTCTCCTAGCAGATTACATGATCTAATCTCACCCCCCTATCCAGATGCAGCTCTGATGAATGTCAGCAATGCCCAGCGGTACGTTCTAACAGCCACAGATCATGAGCTCTATTCAGCTCCCACAGACAGGAGTTGTGCAACAAGATGGGATTGCAGCTTTGACCCTGTGAACTTTGAGAGTGGTTTGATTCGAGGTGCATGCTATTGTGTTGGTAGGTTTTGTCTGACTTGAAATCACACTATAAGAAAAGAAAAATGAGCCTGCAGCACTTTACAATAGTGCAGCTGATTTGTGTGTACATGTACTGTTTTGTTTTTTTATTGTAATCAGTTGTGCATGTGTGTACATACAATACATATCTTGACCTAATATGCTTAAACTAGTGCCCTAAAAAGTTGCACAATATGACACAATCATACCCAATAAGAACCAATTTGATGTTTAATTTGTAGTTATTGGCAGGTTTTCTGAATAATTAGATCTCATTATGGATTGGCTACCAAGTAAATCATAACTAAATAACAGACAAAATGTCCTGCTGATTTTTATGGTTGTTTAGAATAAAAACTTTTAAATAAATTTTATATATATATATATATATATATATATATATATATATATATATATAACACTAATAAAATAAAAAATGCAAGTATATAAAAATAGTTAAAAAAAAGTCAGGACTGGTATGTCTTACATAATTAAAATAAGTCTAAAATATTCACTGTAGTAAGATATTAGTTCATATTAGCCTGTAATTAAATGTAAAAAAGCTCTTTTTTATTATAAATGAAATAATAATAATAATAAACTATTCAAAAATATCAGAAGTATCTCTGTGCTAAAGTTGTTTGACCTTTCCTGAAGAAATACAGAAAAAAAATCAGCGTCATTCAGTCGGATTCATTGTTGTTTGCTCCACAATTTGCAGCATTTCATGTAATCTGATTCCCCAAGAATAACATAATTTGCGTGCTTGTTGACAATGCATTGAATGGAAAAATTAGGATGAGAAAATAAGATCAGGAAATTGTTTATTAGAATAGATGTCCATAGTGACAAATCTGATTGGACACTTGCAATTATCAGTGAGAAATATTCATCATTTATAAGAAGAGACTGCAGAATTTATGTAAAAACTGATATTATTCGCTTTATACATTGAACTCGAGTTGACTGTGACTTGCCTTCACAAAGACAATATGGTAAACATGTGGTAATGGTTCTCACTGTGTCCTCAAGCGCCATTTGTAACCAAGGATGCTAATCAAGAATGCTCACACTCTTTGTTCTTCTAGACTTCTTCTAAGTGCTGCCCTCAGCCTTCAGAATAGACACCTACAATGACTATTGTCATATAGAGGTGTGTGATAATTGAATTAGATGCTCCATAGGGTAAAGACTATAGATATAGAGAGGTCATAAAGCTAGACATGCCTCCACATCCTGCTCAGCACAAGGTTTTCAGCTTTGACCAACCTGAGAGGCAGATGGCCTGGAGGGCTTCAGAACAATACAGCCTGATTGGGTGGATCTGCTTAACACACGGCGCTTTTCAGAGCACACAGACAGAGGTCTCATCCACTGTGGTGGTCTTTCATCATGTCAGAATGTAGCATCTTGAGATAGACTGTAAGCATTCTTTCAGGGCTAGGAGAGAGAAAAGAAGACGCATGAACAAAGGGACTGTGACTGAAATATACTGAAGGGTTTCTGGCGGGGTCATGCATTGATGGAAGAGATATACGATATGATGTAAAATGTGCTCAAGATTTTATTTATAAAGAGACTTGTGTGTATGCTTGAGCAAATATAAATGGCCTCAACTATTTGCTAATGCACAGCGTCAATTAAAATAGCAGTAACAATAACAATACCCAAAAAGAAAAGAAAAAAGAGAGATTTACACGAGCTGTATTTTCTATGTATACTATACATCTTTTGTCGATTTTCAGCTAGTCCCAGTACACATACACTCTAAAATATATATATATTTTTTTACTGCATTATATTTATTTTCCAAACAGTTAAACTTTTGATTGACAAATGTTTACTTATTTTCCCTTATTTGATTTGTAAAATTCACCACATTATTAATATTTTACATTATTAACATTTTACATTGTTGTTTCAAACGCTTCCAAACAGTTATGTTTTTGTGTAACACAAAGCAACATAAAAAAGGTTAATTTTGTCCATACTCAGAAAATGAATGTTATTTTAGCTTTATATATGCTATTAATATTTTAAATAAACTTTTACTTATTTTTTATTATTTTAATTTTATTTTTCAATTTGTATTTATTTTTATTTTAGTTAGAGTTGTAGCATTTTTTTCCTGTTAGTTGCCAGTTCAAGTTTCGTAAGTTTTTTTTTTTTTTTTATCTACTATTTAGATTGTATTTTATTTCAGCTTTATTTAAATAAACAAAATAGATTTTTAATAGTTCCAGTTTTAGTTAACTATAACAGCCCTGCATAAACCATTATAAAATGGTCTTTACATTATATACATAAAAAGGTAGTCACGTTGACAAAAATATGTGACCCTGGAGCACAAAACCAGTCTTAAGTCGCTGGGGTATATTTGTAGCAATAGCCAAAAATACATTGTACTGGTCAAAATTATAGATTTGTTTTATGCCAAAAATCATTAGGATATTAAGTAAAGATCATGTTCTGTCAAGATGTGGCACATAAGGTTTGAACTCAATGATGAGGCACAAGAAAACATTTGATGTCATTGATGCCAGACATGATATGTCTTAAAGCATCATATTTGAATTAACACAAATTATTCCTTGTGACTTTCATCGACTCAAAAATAGTCATATGGGTTTAAAAAGGTGGTTCTTTCTTGTGGTTCCATCAAACCCATCGTTTCATCACAATTTCACCATCCAGTTAGGCACATCAATCATAACTCCTTCAAAAAAAGCCAGAAACCTTGGAGTTATGATTGATGATCAGCTGACTTTCTCAGACCACATTGCTAAAACTGCCCATT